GTACCCTAAATCGTGCAGCATTAGAGTCTCCCATGTCGAGTACTTGCGCAAGGTACCTGGATCCATGTGGCGACGAAGGACCCCGTCGAGCCGGTAGGGCCATTTTAACACATTGGAGACCGACGCAGTCCAGTGCTCCATCACCGCAGCCAGGAAGACATTAAACAGCGTAGGTGCCATACAACAACCCTGTCCCAGACCTGTGTGCAAGGGGATTTCCTTGGACAAAATTCCTTCGACGGAAATACGAGCCACTTTCCCTGAGTAGTATTGCTGGATCAAGTTGACCAAGTGCAACGGGACCCCCTTGTGAAGGAGCAACGCCCACAGCCCCTCGCGAGATACTGAGTCGTATGCCTTAGCAAGGTCAACAAATAGGAACCACAACGGGTGAGACTTAAGACGCGCCAATTCCATTGCCATACGGAGAGTGAAGATCATATCCGTGGTTCCACGCCCTGCCCGAAAGCCGCACTGCGTATCAGGAAACACGTTATGGCGTTCGAAGTACTCGTGAAGACGACCGTTGACAATACGACCGAAGATCTTGCCAGGAACAGATGACAGAAGGATACCTCGCATCACAGGAAGCACCGTCACCGGACTTGGGAAGTGGAACTAAGTAATTGGATTTCCATTCGGCAGGCATAGGATCGAGGCCCTCCCACATGCGACAGAGAAACTCGTGAAGAACCCGAAGGTTAGCGTGATCAAGGTGCATAAGCAATTCCGGTTGGATACCATCCGGGCCATGAGCCTTACCCCGCTTGAGTTGCGACACTGCAGCAAGGACCTCCGCGAATGTCGGCGTGTTAGCCAATGGTGCGTAAACCGGTAAGGAAGCCAGCGAGTCAAGAAGGGTGGGGTCAACCCGTGCCTCAACGTTGAGTAAGTCCCGGAAGTGCCCTTCCCACCGTGTCACACGTTCAGCTCGCGTGCGCAGAAGAGAGCCATCACGCCCCTTCAATTTAGACGCCGGCCGGTGTCCAGGCACGAACACCTGACGCAATTCCTTGAAGCCTGCGAACTGGTGATTCGGAGTCTTAGTGTCAACTTCTAGCTGTATAGCGGCCGCCCGGTCACTCCACCAACGGTTAAGGATGACTCGTACCTCCCGACGGCAGGCCTTCTTTACCGATCGATAATGATGAAAGGAGGAGGCAGACCCATCAAGGCCCAGAAAGGCTTGCTGTTTCGTGACAGCCAGCTTTTGCAGAGCTGCCGAATTCTCCACCTGCCACAGGGGTCGCCGATGACGGATGGAAGGTCTGCAAACATGCTCGGCAGCACGCCGGACGGCGTACTGCCAGAGGCTCAGGTCGGAGGCCAAATCATCGCGGACGAGATCGAAAACTGCCTCGTTGAAGGCCTGAGCAACGTCGGGGTTCTGGAGCCGTGCCACATTCAAACGGGGCACTCGAGACAAGTTGTCCAACGGCCGCGAGCGGCCCCACGGATGCTGACCTGGAGTTGTGATACGAATGTGGACAGAGAGGAGCCGATGGTCGCTATCACAGTCAATGCCTGGCATACACTTTACGTCGGTGAACAGCTGAGCGGAGCGAGAACTTGCGATGACGTGGTCGATCTGAAAAATGGTTTTATTATGCATCCAAGTGCCGTAGTGTCTGTGCTGATAGAAGGTACTCATAATCCGAAGGGGATGGGTCCCGCGGGCAAGACAGAAATCGAGAAGGAGTCGTCCATTATCGTTGAGTTCCGGAAGGCCAAAGGGACCAAGGACCAGGTCAGGGGAAGTGGAGAGGGGGTCAGAAACCGCGAGGTCCCGGATACCCACACGAGCGTTAAAGTCACCTAAAATGATTAATTCATCGTGGGGGCGACCCTTAGCCACCAAGGAGGAAAGCTGGGTATAGAACCGAGCCTTAACTTCATCGGGTTCCCGAAAAGTAGGAGCATACACGGCGATGACATTAAAACGACGGCGAGCGATCTCCAATTGTATCCGGAGGAGTCGGCCCCCAAAACAGTCGACTGTGCACCCTGCCCTTTCCCAAGCCGCCTTCATTTGGGGATCTAAAACAATGGCCACACCTTGAGTAGATCTCTGGGAATCTGGGGGGAGGCCGGAGAAAATGTAGGTATATTCATCAGCTTCAAAAGTGCCTTCGCCCTTCCAACGGGTTTCGGATAGTGCGCGTAACGAGAAGCCGTGTTGTCGGAAAGTATCACAAAGAGAAAACGGTTTGGTTGGATCAGCTCCAGAAAGTTCGAGAGCGCCCCCAGAGTTTGCAATGTGACAGTGAAGAGTTCGAACGTTAAGCGCCCCCCAGCGCAAGTTGATAGCTTTACGTTTCCACGCAGGCGTACTACTCAGGCGCCCTGCTGGCGCCTTCACAGTTGGCCGGTTACCTACGGGGAAACAAGGTCGAGGTTTAGTTTGGTGGTCCTGTGCAACCAAAAACACCGCTCATCAAACTCTGACTTCAAATGCTTGCTTTTGCGCTCATTATGGCTTGGGGTTCGTACTTAGCTCGTTTTGGAGCTCACAATAGATGCTATTATAGCTTTCTCCCCGAAGAGGTGCCTGTGTAGGCTTTGGAGCCTGGGTGCCGTGCCGCTGCAGGGTGCCACTGCCAGGTTTGTGGCCCTATGCGCTTTGGAGCTTGGGTGCTGGTGCCGTTGCAGGAAGTCACTGCAACTTGTATATAGGGTTACAAGTAACTGCAAACGACTGATTGCTGAATTTTGGACTTGCGACTAGCTGATGATAAAGAGAAGGATTCTTATAACACATAACGATTCCTTCTTATTGATGTTGCATTGCTGGGTAAGCTGAAAAATATGATTTTGTTTCCAGTTGAGACTGATGTTTTTGCTGTTGACAAACTCATTTTTTTGTGTTTTGTTGGCCTTTAGGAATGGTCTTGGTGAAGGATGAATGAAACACAGCTGAGATCATTGACCAGCATATTTTGAACAACAGACCGTTAATTGGAGGTGATGCAGCATTTACAGGAAAGGGTTTCGTTAGTAAGCATTCACCGGAGAGAAACTACAACGTTACTGTATACCTGCAGTACATAGCAATCAGTTAGGAGAAAAGTGTACCTGAATGCGTGTCCATGAACTTCATTGGTGATGAAAAGATAGAGAAGTGTGAGTACAGGCTTCAATGTGGTAGTGTTTGGTGACATCTATCAGCACAATGTGGGTCATGTTAAGTTGCAACCCCACGCATGAATAAACAATTAATTAGGGGTGCAAATAAGCTTTGGCGTTGGTGCCAAGCTCCAGAATATGGGTGATACACGCATGTTTGGCTTTTATTGGCTGGACTGCGACTGTATGGTTAATGAGCCGCTGTGTGGCAGATGAAATGTTCTAGATGGCAAGGGGTGCAAATAGGATTTGGCTTGGGGCAAACTACAGAACAAAGCCGGTGGGCTTCACCAATTCTCACACATGAAACAAACGGGAGATTTGATACATCCTTCATTATCACCCTCAAATTCATCATTAACTTATTATATATATATAGTTTGCATGCCTACGTTCTCAGGCATTTTTGCTTATTTCAGGCCTAATGGCCTTTTTTAATTGCTTATTAAACACAGGGGACTGGTGTAAACAATGCTATTTGTTTCTGTGCAGTTACAGAAGCAATTACAGAGCAGTTTGTATTCGCTGCCCGTGTGTTTAAGCAATTAGGCCTTTGAGAATAAGCATTTTGTTTTGACACTAAGGAACGAGGTTTGAGAGCAATCAGGCCTGAGAATAAGGAACCAAGCGCGTGATATCAATCAATGTTTGCCATATTATTCCCAACATTAATCTCTGAAGTGAAGGGGTGCTTTGCGGTGCTCCTTTACTTTTGCAACTTCGCAGTAGCTCAGTAGGCGTTGGTTGACGGAATTTAGTTTGTCGAATTCTGTTATGTTTGTTGTGGCAACTGATGACACAAAGCACATGAAAAAACAAAACGTCATGTCATGTCTTGTGCGACTTATGCTGACCATTGCATTGAGTTTCAAAACTATTGTGATATTATAATATAAGTGCATGATCTTTCAGAACATGCCACTGCTAAATATAATTGACACAAATTTTGGATGGAGCGATGGAAGTGAGATATATGCGAACACAACAAAGCCTTTACCCATCAAACCTGCAGAGAAGTAGGTCCAACAACCAGGAACATTTATGCGTAGTGGATGCAGAGGGGTGCTATGCAGAAGATGTATCAAGACCAAGGGAAAACATTCAACGGCAATTATGGCGCAGTGGCCAACCATAGCAGAAATATGTTCTTAGACTATCCAAAAAAGCAACTGATAAATCCGAAGGGATAAAGTAGAAGAAAGTCCTTGAGAGCACAAACTACTAGCAAAGCAAGAGAAGAAGTGTGCATGTGCTGAGCATTAAACGCAATTTGAATCCCCAGCCCTTATGTTGTTCTTGTTCTTATTTACACCACTGATTTATACAGCCATTAAACACATTAAGCACACTTAAAGCACTAAACGTTTTAATCCCCAACTTCGCAGAGTTCCAAATATTCGCACATCATTAACACATATTAGAGTATTAGAAAACAAAAGGGCTAGAAATTTGAATTGTTTTTAAGGTTTCTTAATTGCACCACTGATTTAAAAGCAAAAACACATTCAACGCAATAGTCCCATGCCCTAGAGCTCCAGACCAGTCCACGGAATCAAGAGCATTAACAACAGTTCTAATTTCCAGCCTTTTCGTTTTTCATGTTTTTAAATGCCTAAACGTATTGTCCATATTTTCCGTGCGAAATGAACGCTAAAGGCTAAAGGTCTCTCTCTCTCTCTCTCTATCTCATATATATGTATATACGTCTATGCAGTACATGTGTTGTATGCTATACACTAGGCCATGCCCTTGCAACCAAACCAAAAAAGCTTCTGTGGTGCTCCGCATTGTCCCGTTCTTGGAAGAAGACATGTCACTTGAGCAACACAGAGATATGTTCTGCAATGCCCTTGAGATATGTTCTTGTTCTTTTGCAGGCTGGAGCCTCCGCGGCGGTGATGACTCGAGGTTTCAGGAGCAGATCTCATGGTGATTAAAACGTGTTGTCACACGTTTGAAAACATGTTTCACTCCGTTTGGCACCACGTTGAAACGCTGCCACTCTCCACAATTGTCAACGTCATGAAGATGGACGTGGAGGGATAGGACACCTAGGTGAGTGTATATACTCGAAACGGCACAGCCGGTGGGCGGAAATTTCAAAGTAAATAGACTATAAAGATTATGACTTATTTGATGAACAGGGAGGAGCAAGGACGCTACCAGGAACAAAGGGCATCGCTACTAGGAGCAAGGACGCTACTAGGGGCTCCTGGCCTTACTACTAGGAACAGGGACGCTACTAGGAACAAAGGGCACGTGATGTTATGTGCTGATGGCTTGTGATGTGAAGCGCACCGCGGCGATTTGTGATGTGGAGGGTTTTGTGGTGATTTGTGGATGCTTCTTTGGGCATCCTTTGGATGCATTTTTCTACACATCTCTACTTTTTGACCTCTAGTACTTGTACTTTTCTTTGAAGACCTCTAGAGTGTACAGTATATCTTTTCTCTTGAAATGCGTTTTTAGTACTGGAAGCCTTCTCTCCTATTCTTGAATACCAATTCGCATCGAGAAACATAACAACTCCACAACTTCACCATCGGTCGACATTTGGGCTACTTCTGGCGAAAAGGATTTGCGGCTAGCGGAATCCATGTTAGACCAGGAACTCCAGCTTCATCTTGAAATCTCTACTGGATACTTCTGTCTAGGAACAAATCTCTATTTTGGACTTTTGATGACTTTTGCATGTTTGTTTTGTTTTTGGTTGCGCTTCTCTACAAGCTTCTATTTTTTGGACATCGCTTCTTGTCTCTAGAAACTTCTGCTCTTGATTCCTCCTCGAGCAATTTACTTTTTTGGTAGAAACCTCTACTCCCCCAACATTCTACTTTGACGTACTGTATGTTTTCCTAGATAATTCCGACTTTGGGCTACTTTTCACGCTTGGGCAAGCCTGGCAGTGCTTTTGGAAAGTTTGTTTCCCAATAGAACTCCATGGCGGACTTCCCCCTCCACCAACTTTCGCCCTGAAAACACCTTTCAGATCCCGAAGATCGCAGCAGAGTGTCACATTTCCCCAATGTGGCGATGAAAAACAACTTCCTAACATTAACACCTATCGGACCTACCGCCCAGCGCTCCAAGAAGCAGCCTGCCACACATTTTTACAGCTCTGCTTTACCTGACGACCGTTTTCGCTCCGGAAGGACTGTTGCACTGACAATTACGCTTGTCAAATGTTACACTTGGCCACTCCGAATTTTCTCGTGGAAGCTTCATTTGATTGAACATGATTGATTATGTGTGCAATGTTTCCTTTGTGTGTGGCAGAACTTGGGCGGTGGTGGAGCAGACGCCCTCTTGGAGGCATTGTTATTGAACTTCAGAGATTTTAGTTGAAATCATTCCTATTGGCCGACCATGTCGGGAATTCGGGAGGAACATTGTCGAGTCCTTCAAGCCGTATTTATTGTTTCTCGATTTGGGAACCAAGAGCTTCGGACAGTTCCTTTCTGTAGAGATTGCCTCCAACTGTTGGACAGGCGCCACTCTTCATCTCGCGGAGCTTTGGGCTCTTCTTTCTGGTGTCACTGACAGCTTGCTGGGGCTACTGCAGCTCGGTGCCTTAGCCGCAGGACGATGTGATCCCTTCACCCTTTATGACCTTCAAAACTTTGCGGGAAGCATCGGGGCTTTCGAGATGGAGATGGAACTTGCGTCTGGAAACAAGCTTTGGACACATTGATCTGCTTTTTGTTCAAGGCAGGTTGGATCCTGATGATAATCAGCTACGCTGGACATGTGCTGATACCCTACCAGAAGGGTGGCCATCCATTAGGTCCAGATCTCTTTTTGATCGGCATGGTTCCTTGGCGGCCTTGGAGTTGGAGTCTTTTGACTGATTCGAACGCCGGTGTTTCACTTGGCGCTACAGAATCCATCTCCAAGTCTTCGCCGAGGTGTCCCACCAGTGGCCACTGAAGCACAAGGCACAAGTGGTGACTCCGCTGCAAGAGAGATTGGTCGTGTAGACTTATAGAACAAACACAAAGCAGACTGACTTGTAGATCCAAATACACGTATATAGTTCCAAATCAAAGTCTTCCTTCATTATTGAGGTCCAGTTAATTAGCTAGCAATGTTGAGACTTTTTACCAATCGATGTCTCAAGTAGAATAGAAGAGAACCTTTCGCCGCGAACACACACCCACATGAGAATAACTATTTTTTGAGACAATGTGTCTCATCCTAGACCCAAAGTATTTTGTACCTTCAGTCTCAGTCAGCGTGGAGCTGCAGTCATTTTGCAGAATCCGTTTTGCTATTCCGGGTGCAGCACAGGGAAGATGGCTCCGGTGCTATTGGCCACCTCTTGTGCCAGCCACTTGGATTCTACCTTCAGCACAGGTGAGTCTGAGTAGTGTTTGCAGTTGCTTCGCTGGCTGCTAATACCAAGGTGACTGGCAAAACAACATCATGTGGTTGGTTACGGTTACAGTAGGTTCGAGGCCCTCGCTAGCAGTCTAAGTTGGTTGCCATCGCTATTAGGTGTCTTTGTTTCTCTCTGTTACAGTAACAGAGTCTATCATTGGGTGCTTTTCTACCCGTTCTTGGGCCCGGAAAGTCTTTTAGACGAGTTGACACCATTTGGAGCCTCCCGCATCAAGGCTTTTCTCTTGAACAGCATGGCGTATGTGAGTGGCCGCTGCGATCTTCATCCACTGAATACCACTTGGGAGCGCTTTCGCTTCCGCTTCAACGAGTCAGCATCTTGGACTGAAAAGAAATGTATCCGCTCGCTTGTGTACCTGAGCGTCGAAAAGGTTCATCATACTTGTGTTCAGCATCTTAACCATTTTGTACCTGAGATGGACACAATACAGTTAAGGGCCTTACCTTACCTTATCTTTTTTCAACATAACGGCCATAACGGGCACTCCTGGCAGTGCAGTTTTCTCGCAACTTTGCGTTCTTTCTAGTTATATACCGTAACATTTGTCAAGAAAACTGCACTGGAGAGCACTCTGTTTACACTTGTCAAGAAACCTGCAATGCCAGGAGGGCATTCTGTGGAACATTCTGCAGTCTGTGAACAATTTTAAAACTATTCAAAGACAAAAAAGACAAACAAATATTCACTTCGAAAGATCCCCACCATGACATTTCAATCCACTAGCACGGAAGTATTGCACATAACAAGGCCGCACTTGTTTTTCTGTAGCAACATGTTGGTATTGTGAAACAACCCGGCTTCATCTCATCTCATCGCCTGTCAGGAGATGCTGTCAAATAGGAAACAAAAAGGTCAGTTAGACACCTGCAGCTGACATGAAAGGGCAATGCCAAAACATACCAAATCATGCCGGCCTGCCGCCTGTCAGCAGATACTGTTAAACCGGAAACAAATAGGTCAGTTAGACACCTGCAGCTGACATGAAAGGGCAATGCCGAAAGATGCCAAATCATGCCGGCCTGCCGATGCTGTCAAACAGGAAACACACAGGTCAGTTGGACATCTGCAGCTGACATGAAAGGGCAATGCCAAAACATGCCAAATCATGCCGGCCTTCCGCCTGTCAGAAGATGCTGTCAAACACGAAACAAACAGGTCAGTTGGACATCTGCAGCTGACATGAAAGAAAAGGCAACACATCCACATGTTCCAAGCTGCGCGCTCTGCTGCCGGAGCGCGCGTTTGTGTAAGGCAGTGTTGTGGTAAAACGTCTGTGTAGGGCGGGGAACACTGCCGTCGGGAACTGGTGGTTGAGGTCCGGCGGGGAGCACGGAACGCTGCCATCTGACACTCGCGGTTGAGGAGGCGAGGAGGAGGAGAAGGAGAAGGAGAGGACGCGAGGTAGCTGACATAAAATCTAACAACCCTCACCTGACAGGTTTGTAAAAACAAAGCACATGTTTTCAGAAGTTTGTCCTCTGCGGGAGGGTTCAATCAAAGCTCTCATATATAGATGTGTTTTTTGTTTCAGTTTCTGTGTATTTTTTTGGAGGGGCAGTCTTTATTTTCTATTTTTGTTTCCTTTTTCAGACTTTGCACTTGCTGTTTTTGTTTTTTCCTGGTCTTCCTGCTTTTCTGCTTTTGGTGCTTTACTTCGTTTGCTGCTTTTCTGCTTTTGCTGTTTCTTTGCTTGCTTTTATTGGTTTTTTGCTCCATCCGCAGATGATCAAGGAACACTTCAAGTGAACATTTGTTTTCTTTATGTCCTCAAAATTTAAACAAACGCAGAACCAAACTATTCATATCTTTGTCTAGTTGCACGCTGGTGCCCCAGTGTGCGTGCAAACGCTTGTAAGATTCATATAAACTGAATCTCTTTGTGATGGTAAATGCACCAAAAAAGGCACTGCCACAACTGCCCGCCCTCCATAAAACCAATTCCTTCACATGTTTTGCCCAACATTATGCAAACTCTGAGCCTGTCCTTTCATAGCTCTAGCAGCTAAGCAAGAAGTTACGAAGAGATGGCGAGGTCTTGCTCACAGCCTTGCTTTGCGGAGCCTTCGCAGCAGACGATCCCTACAAGGCTACTCCTTGGTTGAATCTATGGGCCCTGTCGCTCGGCGGAAAGAGGTGTCACTCGGAGTTCACTCCAAGTGTATGCGCACTACCAATGCCCCCAAAGTTCGTTTCTTTCTTTGTGTTGTGACTTGGTGCAATTGTCATGGTTCAAGCCGGACTTGACGACATAGAACACTTTCTGCAACACGTACTGGATATTGCACAGCAGTGTTGTCTACATTTGTGAAACGGAACAACTAGGTATTCCCGAGGCCCACTAAAGTAAGGTGCATGTGCGGACTGAACAAGTGAACAGTGGTCCATGTTTTGTGGAGGGGGCCACTACAGTCCTTGCAATCTGGAAGCCCACAACAGCTTTGTGTACAGTACCCAAGAAACACATAAGAGAAGAGTTTCTATCATCGCACATGTTGATTGAACCTGTCTCTGTCACCAGCGTTGACAAGCGAAGCCCTTCAACCTCTCCAAAAATGCTAGTTTGGACAGAACAACACGTTTGTATAGAGCTCTACTTGCCCAAGTAAGAATCTTCACTTCACGCATGGGGTTCGTGTACGTGTTTTGCTTGTCGGCTCCACGGCAGATTTGTGCGAAGACTCTAAGGCTAAGGCAGCCAATCAATTTGTGACTCCATTTTCATTAAAGGTGGCCTTCACAGGGCTACCTTGAGTTTGTCGTGCGAAGCAAGTGTTGGGTCGTCCGTGTCTGATTATTGATTCATCAAGTCCAACCCCCCTTTGAATTGCTTAATCAATTCCACGCCCCCCCCCCACGGTGCTGTCATGCGCCCAACCATCATCAGATCATCGAATCATCGAATCAGCATCAGATTGCTGTTGGGGATGGCATGCAGAGGGATCATTCGCTTGACGAGCGGTCGCTAATCTAGCTTCGTGAAACGGATGGTGGCAGTGCGGATGGGTGGGCTTTGGATGATTGAAATGCTAGGCGTTGATTAGCTTCAGTTCAATCAGCGTATATACATAAAAGATCAAATTCGGATAGGTTCCCTTCGCAGCAAATTGATGTTCCAGTTCCAATGGTGTGCACGTTGTGAGTATTTCGAAGAAGTTCAGAATGAACTGATAGACATAAAAGAGAATAGATGTTAAAGGAGGGAGGGTGGGAAGAAATCCCTACCTCAGCCTGGGCTCCAGCCCGGGATGTCAGGTTCCAGCCCTTTGTTTAGGTTGGTTTGCGCGAGCCTCCTGCATGGTGCTCGTTAGCCAGACCGACGCGGGGGCCATCCTGACGGTGCCGGACCTCCTGAGTGCCCTTGGAGTTCCAGATGAGGTTTGGTCAGCTTTTGTTCACGTCGCTGGAGATCCGGGCAACGACATCCGCCTCGTCGCTGCCATGCCGCATTGGACCATACCTCAAACAGTTGGAGCTGCTATGCTCCCTTCAGGTGATCGACTCACCCCAATTCAGGCGGCTCAGGTGGGGCTGGTGTGGCGCAATGCAAGGTGGGTCATTCATCTTAGAGGAGGAGGAGACGCCGGTAGGTTCGTTGACAATGACCCATGGACTATGCCTGGTAGTGCGGGACCTCCTGATGGTAGTGGACATGGAGATGCAACAGGAACTTCGCGGACAACAGTAGGGGGGAGTTCCTCAGGAAGCAAAGAAAACCTGCTGAAGGTCTGGTGGATCAGACAGATGACTCGGAGACTAGGTTGCCTGATGCTTTGAAGCTCAGCAAATGGACGCAACGATACATAGCGGTGATGGGAGCTCCACCTCAAGAAGAAGAAGAACCGACGGATGCCCAACCGGCTGCACTACATCATCGAGTGACGGTGCAAAAGCAGCCACCCTACGTGGACTTCTCGGTGTGGCTCCCTTTCGGAAGGAGAGTGATGAAGAACCAGAAATTTCGTGCTTTCATGCCCATAGGTGATGGTTCCTTTGTGATGAAGGAGTTGCCCGGCCCACAGAATTTGCAGCAGTGGTTGGTGAGTTGGAGAGTCTTCAAAGCGGCTTGCATTTGTTTGAACATAGTCACGTTGGCGGCTCTTCAACTCTATGAGAAGGTCATTGAGAAGCTGGTGTTGCAATGGCCCAAGGCGTGGGGACTAATAGCCCAGGCAGACGACCAGGCCAGAGCAAAGAAGCTGGAGAAGATCTGGAGGAACATCGTCTTAGACGTGGCTGCTGGTGGAACCCCGCCAAGAGAGTTCACGGAGGACGAACCTTGGACAGCTCGCAGGGCCCTGGCCTTGGATGAGACGTTTTGGAACGAGCAGGTGAGACATCCGGCTGCAGCTTGGTTAGCTAGTGGAGCCCATGGAGCTCCAAGGCCTCCAGCCGGGACCCCCTGTAGAACCAGGTGAAGGAGTCAAGCCAACAGAGACAAGCGCACGGCGAAGCGCAAGAGGTGGGCAGCTGAACGTGAGGAGCTGTCAACACTTAGGGAACAGAGGTCAAAGGGGGACTTCAACAAGGGCAAGAGCAAAGGCAAGGGCAAGGACCAGGCAGGTCAAGAGATCTGCTACAGCTGGGCTAAAGGTGTTGGACCTTGCGCAGGATTGGCCGCCGGCTCAGAGTGCAAGGGAAAGGTCAAGCGCGTGCATGCATGCTGTGCTTCTCACCGGCTCACCCAAACGCGGAGTGTCCTCGTAAGACTGCTTCCCCCGAGGGACCGTGGGAGAAAGGGTGCGGTTGGCCTCTCGCGGAAGGGCGAGGGGGGGGAAGGACAGGTACGTGTGTTTTTGAGGTTTGGTCATTGGGGTGAGCTTGGTGGTAGGCACTGGGTCGGTGGCCGTTCTTCGTTCGTTCCCGGTCGTCGATTCGTCGTGACGCACGTGGACTTGAGGAGCGGACGGACTGGACAGATTTGACCGTTCGAGTCGCTCGGGCTCGAAGAAGCTTGAGTGGGGCGATCGGGGCGAGGATGTCGAGCTCGTCGAAGAGCCTTGAACAGCCCAAACTAGAGGAGCTGCCAGAGAGGATCCAGGAAGCGTTGAATGGCGCCAGGGACTTTCCGGAGTACCAGGAGCTCAGACGGTGTTCAGATTCTTGCACATGTTCAGCGGCAAGGAGGATGTGCTGGGCAAGTGCTTGAAGGAGATGGCACGAAAGGAAGGACTTCAACTTGAGGTATACAGCCTGGACAAGTTGGGTGAAGGGGACGTGGACTTGACGAAGGACCACCCGTTCATGCAGCTCAAGGAGGAAGCTGAAGCGTCAGCCTTTGACGCGGGCCACGCGGGCTTCCCATGCAACACGTTCAGCAGGGCAAGATGGAACATGGTGAATCGTGGACCGCCCCCTGTCAGGTCTCTGCAACACATCTATGGGCTCCCACCCAACTCGCCGGAGGAGCCACAGCAAGCAGAAGTGCCCGCAGGGGATTGGTGCATTGTTGGCGACGGTGGACAACAACATGGGGCCGTCCTTTACGATCCTGGAGGGGCTGGAGATACAGCTGGAAGAAGCGGACGCCAAGTGGCTCGGCGTGCCTTGGAATGACTCAGCATCTCAAGGCCCCCTGGAGGCATGGGCAGTCAAGCTGGCGGTGCGCAGATGGGCAGCCAGGCTGGAAAACAAGAGCATCGTCTTGCGAAGCGACAGCGTAGTCGCATTGGCTATGACGCAGAGGTTGTCTTCGCCATCGCCGGTGGTGAACTGGGTGGGGGCAGTGTTGGCCATCCGGTTTGACAAGCGCGGCAGCAAGCGTGTGGTGACCCAGCGCATCCCAGCAAACTGGAACGTAGAGGCGGACTGGCTTTCGCGACCCCATGAACGAGGACCAAAGCCTGAGAGACTTGTCAAGGTACCGATCAAATCGTTCCCAAGGAACTTGATGCATCGATCGTACCTGTCACCACCAGGTGTGGCCCCAAATTTGTGGGGAGCCACCGCGCAGCAGGTCTCCGGAGCCTTCGAGCTGCTTTGAAGGGATGAGGGCGAAAAGTAGTTTCGTCCATCATTCTCGGCTTGAGGGGGGGCGGGGCGAGGTACGAGGTTGGAGGTTTGGTTCATGTCACACGGAGGTGTGAGGTTCGACGTACTCGTGAACCCGATTCGCCTGGATCAGGCCCGATGCTCGTTCATTCGCCGGGAGAGCTCATGATGGCTCAAATGATGGTGAGGCCAACTGACACCCTGGTCGCTGAGGACAGCACGACTCAGTGGTTCTACGGCGAATTTGCGGTGATCGCTGGGTGGGGCTTCTTTGTGCTGGGCCTCCTGAAGGGCCTGTGGACAGCGCTGTGGTGGATTTTCACTCCGCGGAAACCAGGTAGAGAGGGAAAGGCGGAGGCTTCCATCGGCGCTGAGACGTTGGAGAAGACATGTATGCAGTGTGGCAAAACAGAAGATGCAGAGATACCAGGAAGATGTTGGTCACCAAGGAGGGAATGTTCCAAGAAGAGGCAAGTCAGCGCTACTCCAGAGAGGCATCCCAGGAGAGAGTGGGCGCAGGAATTATCAGGGAAGTCTCCAGAAGCTCGACAAGCTCAAACCCGGATCGTAGAAGCAATGGTGCAACGAGCACACAGCCCGTGGTTCAGGATTTACAAGACATGCACCGCCTTGGTGGAGTGGGACCGGGCCCAATGCTGCGACGTGGATCCCGCATTCAATGAGCGCCAAAAGAGCTTGGGGGGTGATGGGATTTGCCGCGGAGGGCCCCCAGAACTGCATGAGTGGTTTAATTCAGAATCGAATGCATAAAGATGCTAACCATTTGGTGAGCAACGCCAATCAAAGCGAGACACGCAGCCAGCAGAAGTCAGAGAACGAGATGATGAAGCAGGAAGGGTACAGAATGTAGCCGCCAGGAAAGGCTCGTTTGAAGAAGTCATGAACGTCTTGAAGGGCAAGGAGAAGTTGGCCCAAGCCAGACGTGAGCTGAGAGGGCTTCATGGCTAAGTCGTCGAGGGCCTCGCAAAGGACCATGGCCAGGGAGGCTTGTGAGCGGAACAAAGACGTCTTCCCCTTGGCCATTGAGACCATTGAAAACGTGGCGGCGGCGATCAAGGCTGTGGGTTGGTCATCGGGAGACCAGTACATCAATGAGCTGAAGTTGATGCGCATTGAGGCAGCCTCAAAGGCAGGTTGGGAGGTGAACCCGCAGCTAGCAAGGCCATAGCAGATTGCAAACGATCGCTGAAGAGAGACCGAGGCCCGGTGAAAAGAGCGCCAGAATTCAAGCTTGATGATATTGAGTACCTCAAATGGATCCTCACCTGCAAGGGCCCAAAGAGAACCATCCGACCAGCGCTGGCTTATGCTTGGGCAGTGGTTTGGATGTTGAGAGAAATTGAAGTTAGCGCCATGAAATGGAAGGACATCTCAGCGGACTGGAACAGAAGAAGGGTCTCCATCTACATCCCCGTCTCGAAGTGCGATCAGCAGGGCTTGGCAGCTCGCAGAACCTTGCAGTGCTGCAACAACAAGACCTGTTACAGACGGTGCCCATGGAGACTATGGACAGAGATGTGGAAAGCTCTTCGTGGAGCTGAGAAGGAGCCTCATGAGTTCGTGTTCCAGGACTCGCAAGGCAAGAAGCTCTCCAAGGCGAAGATGGTGGAAGGCTGGGCCATGGTCACCTCAGAGAACATCCAAGGTCACTCGGCAAGAAGGTCGGGAGCCATGGGATACGTGAGGTTAGGTATGCCCATACAGGAGCTGGCGTTCTTGGGCCGATGGAGATCATCAGTGGTGCTGACGTATGCGGAAGATGCGCTTCAGTCCGAACCAGCCAACAAAAACTTGAGGTTGGTCGAGCCGCCCAAGACCAAGAAGCAGCCAAAGAGCCGAGAGGAAGACCTGGAGCGTGAGCGCCCTATGGGTTCGGGACCTCCTGCAGGTTCAGCCACGAAGAATGTTGAGGCGGAGGATCCCCCCAACGACAGGGGGAAATGCGAAGTGGTGGTCACCGAACTCCCCAAGAAACTTTGGGTTGCTTCGACTGCATACAACTCAAGAGAACGCGTATGGCACCAAGTGGAAGAAGCTGGTTGGGACGTGCCCATAGAGACCTGGACGTCTGTGTGCGGCTGGCCCTTTAGCCGAAATCAAAAGTGATCCTCAACTCCCAGCTGAACATCACGCAACGGAAATGCAAAAAGTGTCTCAGAAGAACTTGCGGCGGAGCCATGGAGGTTGGAAAGGGCAAGTTCGAATGAACAGCTGAAGCAGGAATCACTGCTGACAGTTTGAAGAGAAACTGAGAGTCAGCAGGACAACCGACAAAAGGTCTTGACGTCGAGCCTCAAGACTGTCGCTTCTTTGGAGGGAGGGTGGGATGACCTACTCTTGTTGTCGAAGAAGTTCAGAATGAACTGATAGACATAAAAGAGAATATATAGATGTTAAAGGAGGGAGGGTGGGAAGAAATCCCTACCTCAGCCTGGGCTCCAGCCCGGGATGTCAGGTTCCAGCCCTTTGTTTACCCACCCACCCACACCTGTGTCACACATATGGTTGTGAGGTTGGAAAGGGCAAGTTCGAATGAACAGCTGAAGCAGGAATCACTGCTGACAGTTTGAAGAGAAACTGAGAGTCAGCAGGACAACCGACAAAAGGTCTTGACGTCGAGCCTCGAGACTGTCGCTTCTTTGGAGGGAGGGTGGGATGATAGCATCCTACTCTTGTTGTCTCAGGGATTACGAATCGACCCAGGTACGCCTACTGCTTCCACGTCTGTTGGGCGCGGATGCTGCCGACCCCCTATGGTGCTGTGCTGACCTACTTCAGCCTTCCCCTCTTCTATCTTCTGCACAAGCTGCGGAGGTCCGTCGCTTTATGATTGAGACAACGAAGAGCCTGTCATGGTGATGCCCAGCCAGAAGATTCCTTGAACTGCTTCCTATGAACCCAGCTACTGGTAGCAAGGACACCATTAGGTGGAGGCCATCGCTACTAGGAACAAGAAGCTACTAGTAACAAAGGCCAAGCAGTTCCTCAATGGATTCACATCACTTTCGCCTCGCGTCAGGCGCCGAAGAGATGCACATGAGGAGCCTGCGACGCCCGAGTCGCACGATGAGGTGGAACTCCCGGGACTGCCGGCGGTGTCAGTGTGACACCGGGGCGTCTGACCGTTGGCGAAGCATGTAGAAGGTTGAATCGTTTTGCCCAGTCATTCCAGACTCTTGACCTCCTCTGACGCGTCACGAAATGTCAATTTTTGAATATGTTTGAAGGCTCATCAATTTGTCAACTTTTGGTGAGGTAACCCTAGACATGCTTGCCGCAGATCGGTGGATCAAAACTGCTAAGCAGTTGTTGGTGCTGGAACAATCCGATCGCATCAACAAAGACCACTATTGCAGCCTTCCTCTTTTCCACCATCTCAAAAGCAGGTGATCAAAGAAACAGAAGCAGTTGCGAGTTTGGTCCTCCTTGTGCGGGAGAAGAAGCGGTTCAGTCTGATGAGGCTCAAAGCAAAACCCCAGTAGCGTCTTTGGTCGTAGTAGTAAGGCCAGGAGCCCCTAGTAACTTCTTGCTCCTAGTAGCGATGCCAGGAGCCCCTAGTAGCGTTCTTGCTCCAAGGCTTATGAAGTTTGTAAAGTTTGTGAACAGTTTTTTGTTGGATGAGTTGATAGCATTCAAAGCTCTTGTCGGGGCGCTTAACAAATTTATCCGAGATACAGGTGCTGAGCGAGCGAATTGGGAAGAGCTCGTATGTGGGGGAGCATCTTGAATCTTGAGGATCCTTTGAGTTTGCATCTACCCAATCATGACTTTGCATTAACATTTCGAGTCACCTCGCAACAGCAGCATACCTGCGTTTTGCATAGGGCCCTTAGTGTAAGGTGCTCGGCCCAGACCAAGGGGGTCGCGGGGCTGAGATCCGTACGAGAGCAACCTTCAGAAAGCAAGGTTGGCTCAAGGCTTCTGACCTGTCAATCAAACCAAATTTTACAGCGAGAGGCTTTGCGTCACAGTTTTTTACAGGCCTTTGCACCTCAAGATGCCGGAATGTCAATCTTCAAACCATTCCTTGGTGTCGGTCAAAGCCTCCATCCATGCCATACGGCTTGGATCAGACACAAAAAGAGTTGCCAGGCAAATGACAGGAAGTTATATAACTTGCTTGTGGATCATGTCCACATTTACTAAGCCAAGCATTTGGAATGCAACGTCGAAACGGTTGAACTGCTTGCAGCAAAGCTTCTCAACACTGTTCTCGAGGAATTCCCTCCAATCTCTTCCTGCCTGCCAGGGCTTGAGCTCTTGGGGAAGCAATCTCTTAGGCCAGGGAATGCATCTCGTGCTGGCCTACATGGTTTTGCCCATGCTCCAAGCACATTCATGACCATTTGTGGACCTTGCCACATGTGTGCTTTGTTGGGAAGGATAGATTTTGGGGTTGATGAGGTGCTGCGGTTACGCGGATTCCAACACCTTCTCCGTGGAGATTTCAACGTAGGTTTTGTGGACGTTGACCTCCAACAGTTCTAGGATTCACTTTATCCCAGACATGCGACGTGGGTGAAATGCACGGGATGGTATCTTATGCTTGCCGCTTGGCCTTGTCTACGTGTCATTTACAGTGAAATGAACTTGCCTTGGGATCAAAGGGATGTCAAGCATGCTGTTGCCAGTGCTGAAGTCTACATCTGACACCCACAGCCCCGAAGTGCTGCAAATACCGCCACCTCTCCCACGAAAATGACGATAAAGACACTTTTAAAGATGTCAAAGCTTAAAGTGAAGCATTTTGCTTGTTCGTGGACACTTGTCTCACCCAGACCCAGACACATTGAAAACCAAGGTGGAGGCATACCCAACCCAGTTTTGACCTTCACCGCTTTGACTTCTTGGTGTGGAGCAAGTTTCATCACCGTTGCATGCGCCGATGCTATGAGTTTGACACAGACACTGTAGAAAAGTGAAAAGTGGGACGTGCTTTTGGCAGCAGTGGCATATAAGTGTTCCGCTTGTTCCGGCAGGCCAGGCGTCTGAGCAACTGGGCCCTGCTGCTGCAGCGGCTGGGAGACTTGAAGTTTCCATGTTAAGTCCCAAAAAATGTAGGAGCCAAATCATTAGTGCGTGAGCTATCCTGCGTCCCTATGTATATAGTACGCAGCTTAAGTAGCTAGGAGCTTACTTCCTTAATTAAGTAGGCGCCTACTTAATTAAGTAAGGAGGCAGGGCCGCGGGCTAAAACTACAAAAGCGGTTGAGTTGGTAGGACTGCATCATGCAGTAACAGTTGCCCGAATCATCGGCCACAACTGCGCAGAATGGGTCTACTGAGGTCAGTGTAAGCTGTTGTTGCTCCTGCGAGTGTTTAGTGCTCCTCTAAGGCAGCAGCCTCCATCCGCTCGGGCGTGAAGGAAGTGAAGAAATCGGTGAAGGACGGGCCCGTTGAAGCTGCATGGAAAGGTAGAAGGGCGGCATTGGGAAGGAGTTTGGTTGGACACAAGAAGCCACATGAAAATTACTGTAGTTTTCTGTTGGGCACCAACATCATTGCAAGCATATGAAAGCAAAGGAGAAGTTGCCGATGGTTCCAAACTGTAGATTTTGGTCAACAACCACAGCTGACGGTGCAGGAGAACCTGGGCAATGTGACGGCCACTGCGGCCAGCTTCTCAGCAGAAACCCACCAGCTGCAGGGTGTCAATGGCGCCCCTGCGCGGGAGGTGACTGAGGCAGGGAGTTTTACTTCCGGAATGGGATTGGGGGACCAAAGGTTTTGAAAGGCATGGACGAAATATCATGGAAACAAGGGTGCAATTGTTGTTGCAGATGTTGTTGTAGAGCTTCGCATGCCATCAATGGCATAAGGGTTGTTGTTTCTGTTGCCGGTGGGTGGTAGTTCGTGCGTGTGCACGCGATGGTACTAGGCTTTTCACCATCATGGCATATCACGGCATATGCTTTTCAGACAATTTTATGAATTAATTTTTAGATACTGTACAAGAAAACAACATGGTGATGGGCGAACGAAGCGAGTATAGGGAGTGTGTGGGGGGTGCGACCGGGGGAGAGCCAAAAAGAGGTGGCGGGGGAAGTAGTGAACGTGTATGTATGGTTTTGGTGGTCTGGTGATGCGAGTGATGCAATTCTAATTGGATGGGACTACGTGACAGGAAATGCAAGAAAAATCAGTTTACAGCTGCGTCTTGATATGGGATCTCCTCTTTGCTTCTTAAAGCATACATACATGCATACTTCTTGGCTTTCTAAAGTTTCGGCCAGTCCTTTGTACTCCCCTCCCTGAATGCAACAACAACATTCTATACATGCTATTCTCTTTTCCAAACTCTTTCATTGAGTTAGTTTTCTTGCGCAAAACATCCATTCCTCACGAATGTTTTCTGTATTGCAAAAAACGTCTTTTTGCACTTATGGAGGTGTTCTCGAAGTTCTCCACAGAGATAAATTCAACTTTGCAGAGAGGAATTCTTCCAGTGACCAACAAACGCCAATCATACAGGCAAACTAGTGGGGAGACTCACGTTTCGAAACGCATAGAATAATAAAGATGCTGCTCCAGCATATGTGTTGCCCCGACGAAAGCAATATGATGTTGCGGGAAAAGTATGTCCATACAAAAGACATGCGCGCATCCTGTTGTGCGTACAACTATATCCCTACAAAAATTATCCCGGCAAGAGACCCCAAACAGTGTGTGTGAGGTCTGTAAGCAGAAAGTCTAGAGATCTTGGGGTCCAGAGAGGTGATGGTGGTGATGAAGTGAAGGTGGGTGTGAGTGAGGTGGGTGAGAGGGAGTGTGAGTGTGAGTGTGAGTGAGAGTGGGAGAGTGAGTGTGAGTGCAAGTGTGAGTGAGAGTGAGTGTGGTGTTAGTGAGTGTGGGTGAGAGTGAGAGTGAGTGTGAGTGAGTGCGAGTGTGAGAGTGTGAGTGAGTGCAAGTGTGAGTGAGAGTGAGTGTGGGTGAGAGTGAGTGTGAGTGAGAGTGAGAGTGAGTGCGAGTATGAGTGAGACTGAAGGTGGGAGAGTGAGTGTGGGTGAGAGGGGAGAGTGAGTGTGAGTGAGAGTGAGAGTGAGGGTGAGTATGAGTGAGACTGATGGTGGGTGAGTGAGTGTGGGAGAGTGAGTGAGTGTGAGTGTGAGTGTGAGTGTGAGTGAGAGTGAGCGTGAGCGTGAGCGTGAGAGTGGGAGTGGGAGTGAGAGTGAATGAATGAATGAATGAATGAATGAATGAGAGTGAGTGTGAGTGTGAGTGTGAGTGAGTGTGAGTGTGTGTGAGTGTGAGTGAGAGTGAAGGTGGGTGCGAGTGAGTGTGGGTGAGAGTGAGTGAGTGTGAGTGCGAGTGTGAATGAGAGTGAGAGGCGCCTGCCATGAAAAGTTATCACCATGTGCGAAAATGCGCACGGCACCGCAACGGGAGCGCAGTCGTTAGAAGCACCCGCCGCAGGCGCCCAGATTCTGCGAGCCTGCGCAGTCGAAATGCACATGGACGATGTAGCAACGAATTAGCCGGACACGGCCGCGACGCACAGCGATCTAAGCACACCTGCTTTTCCACTACCGTAAGACCCCTCAGTGTGCCCATGCTGTTTGGGGAATTACTACGCAAACAGTACAGCCCCTAAGCTACACAAACATCACGCTGAAGCGAGCAAACATAGCAAGAGCAAGGCCAAGGCAGAGCCAGCCTATTGGAAACACGGCGCTGCTCTGCTTTCAAGCAGCATGCATCAGACTCACGTTTCAACGAACTCCATGCTTGAAGATGCTGCTCCAGTACATGTATTGGCCAATCAAAGCGATAAAAACATTATGATGCTGCGCGTATAAGTATAGGCCAAGCAGCGGAATATGATGTTGCCTGTAAAAATATACGCATACAAAAATATGGGCACACACAGAACAGTTCCAGGCTTCACAGGCACCATGCGCGAGCACCTGTGCCGTGTGTCGGCAGCAGGTGATACCAGTACCGGCGCCAGTGCGTGGGCAGACAGCTCAAAGCACCGGCGCCAGCCACCAGGGCGCACCAGTAGTGCGCAACCAGCACACCAGCGCCATCAGCCAGGCAGCTGACACGCCGTCGGCATCGCGCAACCAGCTCACAGCACTGGTGCCAGCGCCCAGCACCTGCACCAGCATCGACACTCTGTCTCGAGCGCAGCCGGCTGACACCAACGCCTACACTCTGTTTTGCAAGTGCACATAGCCAGTTCACAGAACCGGCGCCAGCGCCCAACACCGGCGCCAGCTCTGAAACCCTGTCTCTACAGAGCACCTGCGCCGGCGCCAGCGCTATATATATCATTCGCAAACACATGCACACTTTTCATATTATAGGCTTCACTGGTGCTGTCGTGTCAAATTTGGTTTTGCTACAAACACCTCTTGCTTCCTTCGCAAACTGTTGAGCCTGACAGGTGGCCTTCCTGGCGGAAGGTGCTTTCGGTGCGGTCATGAAGGTCTCCTGCAACAGGACGGAGACAGAGCAGTCACCATTTTCAGCAGAGTATTGATGTGGAGAGCTCAAGTGACACTAAATTGGGACCTGGCGCAGTGATCGATGTACGCATCAGCTTCAACATAGTTTCTCCAGCTGCGTGTCAGGACAGGAGAGAAGTTTGCACTGAAGAAAATTAGCTGCATGGAGGGTGTTCAGGCAGGATTATAGATGGCTGATGATGGCTGATAGGGACTCATAGGTTCAAGTTTCAGAGCCCAGCATAAGTCAAAACCGCGAACTCAACTACTGTAATTGTAGGGGTGCCATGATGGCCATATGAGATCAAATAACTCTGCAGCTGGGTTTGAAGCCGAATGGGCTCTTCAGCCAAGCTGTGATTGCAGGTGGCCAGCAGTTTTGAAGCTGCTGAGCGAGAAGCCAAGGTGCATGGTTCAAGCCTTTGGTCAGGGAGTTCTTTGGTCGACAGCAGCTGGAGCTAGACTTTTGCGGTGGTTTGAGAGCTTTGGGAAGTGATGATGGCTTCGCTTGATGCAGGACTTGACTTGAACATTTTTGCATTGAGGACGTCTGAAAGCATTTCAATCCCACCAACCGAACAACAAAGAAGCAGCCGCTACGTAAATGAAACTGATCGACCAGGAAGTGAAAGTCAGGAATACTGAGTTCATTGAACGCACACGCAGACATGGGCAAAACTCTGCAAGACGGACCAGCTGGTGCCTTTCTGAAGCCATGGTACTTCGGAAGGACAAGCTTGCAAGGCCAGGATCGGGTGTGGTCAGGGTGTAATTGAAACGAGGGCTTGGACATATTGTGACGCTTATGTAGGTGACATTTGTGCTTTGCCATGGTGCCGAAACTCCAATAGAGCAGAGCAGTGCTGTACATGTGCGTCATGTGCGTGTCCATTGGTTGCTTCCATTGTCACAAATCAAAGGCCGGCGACCAAATCAAAGAATACCAAGAAGCGGACACAGGTCCCTTGGCGAGTTCTATCCCAACTATTTTCCCCCAACAGCGAAGCTTTGGGGGTTCTGAGATCGGAGAAAGGTCCGGAGCAGGTCCAGAGCCAGTTCCGGAGGAAGTTCCGGAGCAGCTGGAGCAGGTCCGGGGCAGGTTCCGTAGGAGGTTCTGGAGCAGGTTCTGGAGGAGCTTCCGGGTGCGCGCTTGGGATGTGTGACCGTGGGTGCTGGTTCGGTGCGCGTTGGAGGTTGGTGCCGCTGCAGGGTGTCGCTCGGCATTGCTGCTGCGACGTGCCTCTTGCCCTGTGCGCTTTGAATTTCGGGTGCTGGCACCGCTGAGCAGAGTGCCTCTGCGGATTGTCCACAGAATTGTTTTTGCTATCTGGGGTCCATGCTGGCGTAACGGGTGCGGCTGTGACAGTAGGATTTGCGTTTCAGGCTGTTGCTTCGAAGCCGTGTTTTCATGACAAGTGTCAGCTAAAATTGCAATTTTGGTGGACTCAGAAAGTGTTGAAATCATTCCCTGACAGTTGGGGAAGCTTGTTTGGACGGAAGCTTGGTAGCGCAGGGAAACAGCTTCTGGCGCTGGCCTGAGAACTGACCACTCTGTAGTGCAAATGTAGTGCGGGAAGCAGTTTCTGGGAGCTGTGGCGGCAACTTTGTAGTACAAATGCAATATGGGAAGCAGTCCGTGCCATTGGGGGAAGGAAAGCGTGCTGGTGTAAACGCGGCGTGTCGCTGAGGAGCAGGGTGATTGGCGGGGGTGTATCTAGTCTCCAAATATCCCACAAGAGCTCTTCACCAGAGTGAGCAACAAGAGTGTCCTACAAGAACCCCCCCCACATCCCACAAGAGTGTCCCATAAGTGCCTCACAAGAGTGTCTTACAAGACCGTGCCGCAAGAGTGTCGCAAGACTGTCCCACAAGAGTTTCCTACAAGAGTGCCCCACAAGAGTGTTCCACAAGAGTTTTCCACAAGAGCGCCATGCAAGAGTCTCGCACAAGAGTGTCCCACAAGAGTGTTCTTACAAAGCGTCTCCTACAAGAGTGTCCTACTACAATGTTGCACCAAAGTTTTCCACAAGAGTGTCCCACAAGAGTGTCCCACGAGAGTGTCGCACAAGAGTGTCCCGCAAGAGAGTTCCGCAAGAGTGTCGCACGAGAGTGCCCAGAACAGGTTTCCACCAGAGTGTCTTACAAGAGTGTCGCACAAGAGTGTCCTAGAAGAGTGTCCCGCAGGAGTGCCCCGCAAGAGTGTCGCGCGCAAGATTGTTCCACAAGAGTGTTTTACAAGAGCGTCTCCTACAAAAGTGTCCCACAAGGGTGGCAAACAATGTTTGACCGTTTGTTTTCGAGTGCGTGTGTGCATTCGGGTTCGTGGGTTCCATTTTGTTTTTATCTGTTTAATTTGAAGTGGATATTATATGATATTGTGACTTTATGCTGAATGTAACACGTGTTTGGAAAAGGAAGATAACCTTTGTTTCATGGCATCGGAGACCAGGTTGCTGAAGCAGCAGAGTCCAAACCTCAATCTCAGGTAGGTGCAGCAATGGTGGTAGGTGCAGCAGGTGCAGTCGGTCCTGCTCGAAAACCTGCTGTGGGTGCCAAGGCAGAAGTTGAAGCGCAAAGCCATTGCACGAAGGCGGTTCGTGGAATATGTGCTCAATTTTGTTGGAGAGGGCGATGCAAAACAAACCGTGCATGGGGTGGAACAATGTTCAACCGCCAGCCGCCAGTCAGGATTGGTAAACATTCCAAAAAGTGCAGGCGTTTTGATGCCCCTCTGCCTAAACTGCTAGCTAGCTTTGTTGGGGATATGTTTGAGGGATAGTTTCTTGATTATTGCACTGAACTCACTCAAACTTTGCCATGCTGTACAATCGGTCAATGTCAAAGGCTTGTACCCACCCAAATTGATGCCTATCTTGAAGGAAGGTTCTATTTTTTCTGAAGCAAGAGCCAGATTCGGTGCACTAGTCACTCCAGTCACAGGCTTTTGACTTCGGAGAGAAAAGGAAAGAGGTTCTTTACCCAGGGTTGGAGTTGTTGGAGGATCGTTTTTCCTCAAACCACCAGCTGTCTCTGCCAGGAAGAAGACTTCGCAAATTGCCAGACCAAAGGACATGGGACCAGTCCAGTGCTGGGCCATCGGCGTTTTACATAGTGACGATGACACCGTGGCCGTAGGACTGGAAGAGAGGCGTGGCGCACGCCTATCGGCTGGTCGCCACCGGGCGAAAGAAAAAGTCCTCCCGTCATGTTTGCCAGTGGGCGGGGACATCTTTCATCGGAGCCAAGCGATGGCGATCACAGCCTAGGGCCTAGGGATAGGAGAAACCACAAGTAAACCGTGCACAGTAAAATAAGTGCACAAGGAGCACAGTAAAAAAACCGTGCACAGTAAAAGGAGCTCCACAAGGCGACGGCATCGATGTTGTGAAAGAATTGTGTTGCTGCTTTTCACCAGATAGCGAGAGCTATTGGGGTTCTTACTTCAAGTATAGGAAGAGGTGCCTGTGTGCGGTTTGGAGTCTGGGTGCTGGGCGCTGCAGAATGCTGCCAGATGCTTATGGCAGCGTGCGCTTGGGAGCCTGCGTGCGGGTGCTGCTGCTATGGTGCTACACGCAACATGTTTTTTGCCATTTGGATCTTTGCTGGCAAAGTTTTGTGTTTTCCCTGCAGGTGAGTCGGCAGGGGTTGAGGTCTGAACTTGCTTGCGCGTGGGCACATGCTGAGCACATCGGTTTGTGAAGGCTTTGCCATCAGTGCAATTCATAATCTTGGCTGGGCTAGTCTACGGCATTTAAACATCATATTCCTCGTTGTTTTTGCTGATTATTTGGTTGTAGGGGAATCTCATCTAGTCTGGTTTGCTGACGCTCGTTGTCTTCGGCTCACTTTTTTGGGAATGGACATTTGGTTCGCCTTTTTATGCCTTTTTCCTTGCTAGCTGTTGCTAGCTGCTAGTCCTCAGAAGAACATTTCAATTGAACAAGATGCTTCACCCAACACCGCGCAGCCGCACAGCGCCGCTGCGGTCTGGCACTCCACGAGCTCTGTTGGTCTTGTCGATGTTCCAGCAAATTGCAGCCCCACAGAGTCTGCCGCAGCAAAAAAACACACTATCTTTGTGCAACTTGCAACAAGCACGTTCTCCTGTTCTCCTGAGCAGGAAGGCACTCTTGCGTGCGGTATGGCATGAGATGTTGCAGTAGAGCCATGATTGTTACTAGGCTCGCTTGCAGGGTGCACGCCCGGGTCAGCTGCTTTGGCTGACTTTGCGAGAAGAAAACTTCAACACAGCACAACTGCATAGCTACTCATGCACACTCCAACTGTGAGTTGCACTGAATGCAAGTAAACGGCTGGGCCACCAGCAGCAACACCACCTCAACCATCACCAGCAGAATATCCCCCGCGGCTAGAAATTGAGTTCAAGAGCAAGAGATGCAGGACAGTCTTCACACCGCCTCCAGTGACAGGCCTTTGTTCCCATCCAGGTGAACATCTTTAGGATAAGTTGTATTGAGATGAAGCTGTGGGCATTCGCATTGCACCGGATTCGCAATTCGGGTGCCAATGTCCGTTGTGAGGCAATGGGAGGTTGACTGGTGAGTTCCTTAAGGTTGACCGGCAGACTTCCCATTGGCTGAGTTGGACATGCAGATTTTCGCAGGCTTTTGCAGGTTCGCATTTCTTATATAGATGCCCCTTTTTGCACTTGATGTGCCCTGACTATAGACTGCTTTAGCCCACAAAGACTCGACCCACCATTGCAGCTGCAGCTCCGAGAACTTAGGTTGATAACTTATGGCTGGCTGGATCCTCTTTGTGCAGTGTCTACCTGCACTGCTAGGTTCCATGGGACTACTTTCGTGTAATCACTAAGTATATACATAAGGCCTCAACCAACAAACCCTTGAGAACGCGAGTGGTGACCATTCTACACTTTTTTGCAAATGCTCCGGCCAGAACATCTGGAGGGCTTACCAAACAGGACATCATTCAGTGTGAGGCTAAGGTTGATTCAGTTGCCTTGCATGTTTGTGGACCAAGCTCAGTCAAGCTCCTTGGTCCAAGGAACAAAAGGGGTCGATATGCCGGTGGCTCAAAGTTTGTTGCAGAGCATAGCAGTATCAATCAGAATAGCAATGGCCTCCAACCTAGTAGCGATGGCCTCCAACCTAAGTGCGCAGATACAAGACAAGTTCCACCAAGGTCTCGAAAAAGAGGCACTTTCTCAGCCAACAGAGCTTCACGAAGAATCGGCTGGATGTTTGGTTGGGCCACGTGATGCAGTCTCGTCGGGAAGTTGGCGCCAAGGGCTTTGTAGCGATCAAGAAGCCCGTCAAGGGCAAACCAGCAACCATCTCCACTGATCTGTATGTGAAGACTTTGGAGAAGTGCAAGCCTCAATAGCGAATCTACTGTTGCTAGCTGCTCCCACAGCTGGGTGTGTAACACAAGACATGTTCTCTTGTGAATATATTGTGATTGTGCGATTGTTCGGTTCT